GCCGTATGAAATCAATCCGGTGTTCTTGGCAATTGGCTAGAAAGGCTGTATCGCCGACAAAGCGCAGATTGTTTATTTTTTGGCCATTAATGGAGATAGACTTTTCCCATCCTTCAAGCACTTTCCTCATAATAAGTTTTACGTGGGTATTAAGTTGTGGAGATAGTATACATCCTTGGCTGACACCTTCTACACTTCTACTGATTCAATGGTATGTTTTTACAATTCACTGATAAGGGAAATCAGGGTGCTTTTGCACGCATACTTTTAATATCAGTCATAAATGACGCCATTTAACTGAGTCGGTAACCTTGATATCTGAAGCAGATGTATCCCGTAACTTTTCGATTATCTTTGTTATATTCAAATGGGGTTCTCATGTATGTCATCCACCTTTGGCCAATCCGATCTGCTCTTTTGCTTTCCTTTGTAGAAAAGTTTTCAGGCTAACTTTGATACTATGCAGCATCATTTTGTTAGCATGTGAGATAAGAGAAATAGTTCTATAATTGTCGGACTTTTTTGTGTATAAGAGTGCGTCCATTCAGTGGACCATTACCTGGAACGCCATATTTGATTGCAAAGAAAATGAAGCAATTTTATTCCGATTTCTTTTGTTTCCTTGGACAATTTCGCTGTTACCATATCTGGGCCTGATGCCTTATTTAATCTAAGTTTATTGTTTGCCAGTCTTACTTCGCTATCTGGTATATCAGGTTCTTCTTCTATTTCTCCTAAGTTAAGGTAGATATGTTCCAGGTTTTATTTGTCTTTATATAGATCTTGGCAGTATGATCTCACCGTCTCTGCTACATCTTGTCTATTTACTTTTAGAATTCCCGTGGTCTTCGATAGTTTAAGTTCTCGGTTTAAAGTCCTTTGTTATGTATCGTATTTTTCGAAGCAGGTCTCTTGGCTGGTTGTTTTAATCGTGGCTTTCAATTTCCTTGCTTGTATTGTTGTAATATTATTTATGAAATATGCAGAACTCATGTTTCTCATTAGAAATAGGCTTAGAGTATTACCCTAAAGTCCTGCACTATTATTTGTAAATATTTGATAGTTAAATTCAAAAGAGTCCTGATTTATGCAAAGTTCAAGATGTAAAATTTCAGATGCAATGATTGGATTTGTAATATAGTCTTTTCTAGAACAAAAGTTTTTGTAGGAGGAATAATTAAATATGTTGTATTTTATTAACTCGTCCTATTGTGTTTTTTTATGGTAAATTTAAGTGAAAATTTAATGTGTTTTCAACTAAAAAAACCAGATGTCTTCTTGAGTAGTAAGGTTTGTGTAGTTTAATAAAAGAGTATAATTTGGGGGGCTGTGGGTTCATAATATTTAGGTATTTCTGTCTCATTGAATTTAATATTGATTTTAAATTTTCTATAATTTGTTTTTGTTACTTTTCCGCCGGTTCTTTGTTTATTGTTATAATATTTTTATTTTAAATTTTTTTTATTGTTTTATTATATTCTATTTTATCTATAGCAATAGTAGTTTTACCTTTTTCTACTTTTGTAAACACTATGTTGCTTTCTATTGATTTATTTTTTTTTTCACTTAAATATGTGTAATAGATTTTGTAATGACACTTTTTTCTATATTGTTTTCAGTTTTATTTAACGTTTTATTCACATTCTACACCTATATATATTAAGTTTTTTGATTATTTTGTTGAGCCAAGTTGTAGTTAAATTCTTTTTCTAAAAGTTGTAATCTCACCCTTGCTGAATTTAGTATCTATTAAAATAAATCTATTAAAAAGACTATGGTTCGAAAACTTTTTGTATAATAAATATTGGGTTTTTTACTATTGCGAATTAGATTTTTTTACACTGTTTTTCAAATGTTTTATCTCTTATATTATCTACTTTAATTTCTCAAGTTAGAATGTAGGATGTCAAGTTCATTACTACATTATTTAATCTATGATTCAGGCATCATTTGCTGTGCATAACATTTCTATGCATCATTTGCTGCTGTGAACAGTCTATCGTATATATAGCTCTGTATGATGTGTATTAAATAATCTGACTCTCATGTTATCCCTGATTCCGTTTTTTATTGTGAGAAAAGTTGGCAACATTGAAGGTATTCTCTACATCAAACAACGATTACGACTTATCCTTTTTATCGTCAAATATCAGTTTCTACCGTATTTACGGTAGACCTTTTTGAAAAATCGTCTTGATACGTTCTAATTGGATTTACTTTATAACCAAAAAAACCCAAATTAGCATTTTACTTGCTCAAAATTGATTGTTTCTGAACTAAAGATGACTGACCTTAAATGTGTCCATACATAGCCTGAGGTTGGTACTCCAAATATAAATCTGCGACTCCACTTGCCCCTACGAGTCCGACACCGAATAAGGCGGCAGGATGCCGAAACATCGTGGGGCTCCACCTTACCCGTAGTACCTGTGTTGCGAGTACGGCACAGGTCGCCGTCGAGGATCACTCCTCTACCACTCTTAAATCATTCCAGGTGGGTACGTGCCGGGGCAGGTGTAAGGCCGTGGAGAGGTATTTACGGGCCCAGCTCGTTCAACCTCACCTGGCTCTTGTGGAATCAGAGTAGAGTGGTTCCACGAGATGCTCTTCTCGGATACTAGGCGTGTAGACCGGTAACCGAGATGTCTATGCATCCCGAGTTCGTTTCTATAAACCCGACACCTCGAACGACGGCTCTCCACCTCTCATTTCCTTTCCATTAGTCGCCTCTTACGACAGGCAGGGTCTTCTGGCCTCGGCCGTATTATCTCCGCGAGCCGAACGGAGAATGTGTCCATACAATGAAATTTGTAAAGACTGCTCTGAGAGTTTGTAGAAACTCTCTCCAAGCTGATGCTTTCATATTTGATATGAGTGCCTCTGACGCTAAAAACGGACGAACAGTGTTATGTTGTTATTCAAGTCGTATTCCAGTTGTGTTTCTTCAAGTCAATAATGTACTGAATTCTAAAGGTGCTATTCTGGATTTATTTTTCTCAACAAACCCCAAAACCTCGGTTACTTTAGCTAATGAGTTTCAGTTGACTGTAGATGAACAGCATCTTTTTTTAGCCACTCTGAGTAAAAAATAATGACAGTTTAATATATAAGTGTATACCCGCCAATGCTTCCTTTTCCGAGATCCGAGGTGTTCAAATTTTTCTTACAAACTAACGATTTATTTATTGCTCTGACACTAATATGCAAATGAAATTGGGTTGGGTTTAACAGTTGGGTATTGCGAATTTTTTATATACAGTTAGGAATTGTATATTCATCATTGGCGCACATATGGGTAATGGTCTCAATTTTTTTTTCAAGGAAAAATGGCACGTCACTGGAATTTTTAAAATTAAAAATCATTTTTGAATTCTTCATCATAACCCGTAGTTTTCATTCCTTTGTTCTATATTCTCAAGAACTATATAATACAATAACATCAAACCAGGACAATAACAGAAAGTACCACTAATATAATTTTAAATAGGCGTACAAAAAATGTTCAAAATTACTACTACTATCGGTTTACAGCGTTCTCCGACGCCTTCCGAATCCTCACCGCCATTCTTCTCTATTTAACCATAGGCCTGGAGGGATTTCTCTTTCCTCTAGTTCTTTTTCAATTCCCTCTCTCCAGCCTCTTCTCGGTCTTCCTCTTTTCCTTCTCCCTTGTGGTGTCCACGTCAAAATCTGTTTTGGAATCCTGTTATCCGGCATTCTCTGTACATGGCCGTACCGTATTAACTGTTTTATTTTTATGTCATCAACTATTGTGTGTTTGACTCCCATCATTTCTCGTATTCTCTCATTTGGTATCCGATCTCTTCTTGATTTGCCTGCTGCTCTTCTCGAGAAGTCCATTTCTGTTGCTAGTAACAGTTTCTCTGTTCTTTGTTTCATTGGCCAAACTTCACTGCCATATGTGATTACACTTTTAAGTATGGTGTTGTATATGAGTTGTTTGTTCGCTTTAGATATTGTTTGGTCCCACAGAATCCCGTTCATCATGGATATGGCTTTTCTACCCTGTATATTTCTGTCTTTTATAGCAGCATCGAGTGTTCCATCTTGAATTATCTTCATACCCAAGTACTTGTATTCCTCACAGTTTCTAATTTCTACCCCATCGTCTAATGTAATGGATTGTTTTGTCCCTCCAATACACATGGCTTCAGTTTTCTTAATGTTGACTTCGAAATGTTCAAAATTACTTCCCTTAAACGTGACACAAGTTGCAACACTTAAGGTGGGTCCAGACTTGAACATTTTAGCCCGAACGAACTGAGCTCCCAGGAACAAACAGAATGAGCAGTAGTAAGAAAAAATCGTGCTGTTCACGAGAATTACATCTATTTTTCTCAAAAATAAGAATTTTACTAGAGATAAAAAAAATGAACACTGACGGAACAGTAGCTTTTAGCACCTTTTTGTTATTTGTAAAATGGTCAACAAGAAGAACAAACGACGTATTCAGTGGGTACGAAAATTTTATCTACACCGTACTGAGTTAATTGCTCTAGTCTGCTTTCACTAATTGGAAGAAATGTTTCCAGTAGGAATACCCGATCTGGACCTTTTTTCCATTAATTTTTTCATAAAATATTCTGTTCACTCCTCTCTGTCACGTATGTTTAGGTTGACTTTGGTTCTGCAACTGAACTTGCTGTAGATTTTAGGAATTTCATACTCAAATAAAATAAAGGAGAATCATATTAGCCCACTATATTATTATGCTCAATTTTAATGTGTATATTTTAATTTGTAATGTTTACATAAGTGCATTTGTCATAGTCTTTACCTGTGTTTTCCTGTAAACTTTTATATTTTTTATAAAAATGGAGCAAACTGCATCAATAAATAAATAAAAAATTCATCGAACAGAATTCTACTTGTAAGACATAAATTTTAAAAATTATTCAGCATTCACTTTTTGTTATATTTTAAATTCTTACCATTTCAAGCTGGAACTGAGGTAATTAATAATTCTGTTTTCTTTGCAGTACTACAAATATATATGACCAAATGGAAGTTCCACACTTGGACAAGGAAAATATTCAGCCGTTCAACCACATAAAAAATGACGAGCTGTCTCTATATGATAATGGAGGCAGTATCACAAAATACCGGGAAGCATCTTTGTCTCATTCTCACCGACCTCTAGAAGAACACGACTCAAATTCACAAGATTCTGGTTACAGTGCAAGCTACCATGGAGAAAAATTTTTGGCTTATGCCTCTCCAATACGAACTGCAAGCACATCTTTTGGCTCTATGGTCTCTATGGAGGATGAATATTTTGATTTTTCTGATGTTGAACCTTTAGAGAAACCAAACTTACCTCACGATTTCAATAAGCTTATAACAAATCCTTTGATTAATCGAGCTAAACCTGAAAAAGTCTCATCTCCAAAAGACACTATAATAAGACCACTTTTCAGAAGAGCTTTATCACTCCAACCTCACACGGAAAACACACCTAATAGTAGAAGGGTACGAACCAGTTTATTTAGAGGTGAACATGAAATCAGATCATTTAAGAGACCCGAACCTCCGAACGATCTCGACAGTACACTTGTGAAAAGGTCAAAGATATTTAACGATAATGATGATAGTGATTGTGAAGCCTCAGTTCCTGTAGCCAGACCTGTACTGCAACGTGCATTTTCTGCTACAGAGGACAGTATTATGTGTGCAGTGCAAAGATCTGCGATTGAACCTGACCTTATTGGAGATTTTACGAAGAACTTCAGTCTTCCATTAACAATCAGTCGACATCAAGATTTAAAGGCCATTACGGCAGATACACTAGCTTCACTTATGAAGGGAGAGTTTAGTGATACTGTGGATTCTTATAAAGTCATTGACTGTAGGTATCCATACGAGTTTGAAGGGGGTCACATTAACGATGCACTTAACTTCTACACCAAAGAGCAATGTATGCTACTACTAAACTCAACACCTGATGTTACTGAAGGTTCTCACGCAAGACATATATTGGTTTTCCATTGCGAATTCTCCAGCGAACGTGGCCCAAATCTGTAAGTATGCCGATTAAAATTTAAGCCTTTAAATTGATAACACGTTTTTATAGATACCGATTTTTGCGGAAAGAAGATAGGAATAAAAATGAAAGTGTGTATCCTTCTCTTAACTTTCCGGAAATCTACCTCCTAGAAGGTGGATATAAAAAATTCTTTGAGACTCATCCAGAGTTGTGCACTCCAGTCGCATATAAAGAAATGCTGCATCCTGATCACGAAGATGAATATAGACACTTTCGATCTAAATCAAAAACATGGAACTGTGATTCACGTCAACGTCTACAAAAAAAAAGGTTAGGGGTGTAAAATTTGTTTAGGATGCCATATAATTTTATAGTACAAATAATTAGCTTATCTATTTGGTTCATAGTACCTGTTGTCAAAAACATGAGATATATTATTTTAATTAATCAGACAGTGCATGTCTGATGAACCAAAATACCCATTACCACTTAGTGATGTAGGTAAAGTGCATGCTTTTATTACTATTTGTTGCCTGATATAAAAAAAACGTGCGCATAATCCTTATAATATCAAAATTACAGCAGTGCCGAACAAAACATTAAGATTTTGGTATATGGTATCTCTGACTATATCTTCATTTCAAACTAACATGTGGGTATTACAGAAACTTTTCTTTAATTATGCTTATCCAATTTTATCTACTAGGACCAAAAATGTATAAGGTTATAATTAAATGCCACAATATTCATGGCACAGCCTTTTTAAAATTTTATAAATGTATAATTTTATTACATACTTTTTACTTATGCTTTTTCGATATCTAATCATGTCTTTCTGAGTTAACTCAATCTCCACGAAGTAAAGATCTTTTTACGTACGTATATTATGTTGCTGAGATTTTTTATGTTTTGACACTTTTTGCTCTTATTTCTTAAACTAAATCACTTATTGCTTCAAGAGATGGTCTTGTTGGCATCTTCTAATTCACTGTAGATTGATAAGCCTCATTTCAGGTTATGTCATAGTTTGTGCATTTCCCATAATTCTACTGTTAGGAAATCGCCTCCAGATCCTGCTATGCGGGTAGAGGTTAAAGTTTTGTGGTTAAATTCTAGTTTAATAGGTAAATATAATGTATAAGAATATTTGTCTTCGAAAGTAGAATTATTGATAAATTAATTAAAAGCTTAATTTTGAATAAGGTACTATTTCAGGAATCTTCTCCATATTTAGTAGAATTTAATAGTAATGGTGTCTGGTATATCCTACAAGTTACAGTTTCAAATGTAATATTGTGCGTATTTATAGATCGAATTATTTAATGGAAGGATTTATTTTACTCAAAACTGCACATTGTTGCGTACATGGGGTTAGTCTGCAGAATATGTATACAGGGTGTCCCAGACTAATTTACCCACGCTATATCTCTTAAACGAATAGAGATTTTCGAATGGGACAAAAAGTGGTCTATTCTATTTGTAATACACTTTAATATGGCGTAGAAAAAATCATCCCCTAAATATTCATCCCTTAGTTACAACCCCTAACTTTAATTTTGTTAATAGCACCCTGTATATTTTTGTATAGTTTTGGATGTGGTCTTCTATCGTCTATTCAACAGATTTATTAAAAATAAAATCGGTTTGTAAATAATCAAGAAATCAATTAATTTTTTATTTTTGTTAATTAAGCGTCTCAGACTAATTTATCCAGGCTATATTTATTAATAAAATGGAGATTTTTTAAAGGGTCAAAAACTGGTCTATTCCATTTGTAATACACTTTAATATAGCGAAGAAAAAATCATCCCCTAAATATTCATCCCTTAGTTACAACCCCTAACTTAAATTTTTAAAGACACCCTGTACATTTTTTATAGTTTTATATGTGGTCTTCTATCGTCTATTTAATCGATTTTTTTAAAATAAAATGGGTTGTAAAAAGGTATCAAGAAAATATCAGTTTATTTTTTATTTTTGTTAAATTAATCAAGATAGCCTTAAAAAATAGAATAGAAAAGAAATATTAGTAGTATAACTTCTTACACAACCTTTTTATTTAAATATTATTTTTAATTTTTCAAAATTTGGTCTTTGTAGGAGCATACGTTATCTTCCAGTGTGGTTGATGGTATGTTTCGTTGATTAATTTAACAAAAATAAAAAATCAAACTGATATTTTCTTGATACCTTACAAACCCATTTTATTTAAAAAAAATCGGTTAAATAGACGATAGAAGACCACATCCAAAACTAGAAAAAAATGTACAGGGTGCTATTAAAAAAATTAAAGTTAGGGGTTGTAACTAAGGGATGAATATTTAGGGGATGATTTTTTTCTTCGCTATATTAAAGTGTATTACAAATGGAATAGACCAGTTTTTGACCCTTTAAAATATCTCTATTTTGTTAATAAATATAGCCTGGATAAATTAGTCTGGGACACTTAATTAACAAAAATAAAAAATTAATTGATTTCTTGATTATTTATAAACCGATTTTATTTTCAATAAATCTGTTGAATAGACGATAGAAGACCACATCCAAAACTATAAAAAAATATACAGGGTGCTATTAAAAAAATTAAAGTTAGGGGTTGTAACTAAGGGATGAATATTTAGGGGATGATTTTTTCTTCGCTATATTAAAGTGTATTACAAATGGAATAGACCAGTTTTTGACCCTTTAAAATATCTCTATTTTGTTAATAAATATAGCCTGGATAAATTAGTCTGGGACACTTAATTAACAAAAATAAAAAATAAATTGATTTCTTGATTATTTACAAACCGATTATATTTTTAATAAATCTGTTGAATAGACGATAGAAGACCAAATCCAAAACTATAAAAAAATATACAGGGTGCTATTAAAAAAATTAAAGTTAGGGGTTGTAACTAAGGGATGAATATTTAGGGGATGATTTTTTTCTTCGATATATTAAAGTGTATAACAAATGGAATAGACCAGTTTTTTACCCTTTAAAATATCTCTATTTTGTTAATAAATATAGCCTGGATAAATTAGTCTGGGACACTTAATTAACAAAAATAAAAAATTAATTGATTTCTTGATTATTTATAAACCGATTTTATTTTTAATAAATCTGTTGAATAGACGATAGAAGACCACATCCAAAACTATAAAAAAATATACAGGGTGCTATTAAAAAAATTAAAGTTAGGGGTTGTAACTAAGGGATGAATATTTAGGGGATCATTTTTTTACGCTATATTAAAGTGTTTTACAAGTAGAATAGATCACTTTTTGTCCCATTTGAAAATCTCTATTCGTTTAAAAAATATAGCGTGGGTAAATTAGTCTGGGACACCCTGTATATAGTTCAAATGTTGTATAAAGCTAGTGCGAAAATAAAAACGCAATAAACTTCTTCCGGTATCCTATCGTTCGGCACGTTTGGTAATCTGTCACTTTGTGATGTCAACACCAAATGTGAAAAATTCTCCCCGAACCAAAATCGAGACATTACCTTATCACAGGCGGTAACTCTAGTTGTTATTGTATTATTTATTGGTATGCAAAATGTGTATCTAACGTGTTACAAGCGAGGAACCGTGAATCACCAGTGGCCGGTGAGTGAACATATCGTTTCTTAATCTTATTTTAAAAATTTTGTGTAAAATACTACTGTCTTAAATACCTACTCCTTGTACAATCAAGATAATTGGTACTTATTCAAAGTGAGTTTGTCCGAATAGTTGATGGTTTTAATCAATCATCATCAACAAGAATTTTACTCTTACTTAGAGCTATTTAAGCGCGTTTCTTCCGCGTTCTTCGTGTGGATTGTCAAGTTTGTTGTATGGCTTGGCTTTCGTTACAATTTTCTTCCACTCATTTCGATCTATTCATAAGCGCCTCCAGTTTCTCACGTTCAGGATTTTAATATCTCTCATGGCCGTTTCTCCCGTCATCCTCTAGGTCTTCCCCTTGGTCTTTCAGTTTCTTGCTCCGATTTGTCAACGTTATTAATCAGTAGGTCGTTTTTCCTTCTCTCTATGTGTCCCAGCCGCCTCAGTATCTGTTTCTGTATCTGTCCTCAGTTTAATAGATCTAACTATTTATAACTCTCTCTTATTGTCGTGGTTCATTCTTCTAATTTCTCCGGTTTCCATTTTTATCGGGCCCATAATCCTTCTGGGGATTTTCCTTTCGAATATTCTTCATCTTTATCTGTGAGGCACATATATTGGTTTGTTTTGCATTTCTGTATATTTTCAGTTTTGTATTTCTGGATAAGTTCTTGTCCTTTGTTCCTTTGTTACCTTTGTCCTTGCTATGGTTTTACTCAATACTATTGAAAATATATTTTAAAAATAAAACACAGAAAACTACATTGTCAGTCTCAATTGCAAATGGTCTAACTGATACAATTATCATTTTACCATAACCGTGAAACCGTTTGTTCCACACCGATCGTACACCAGTCAAGTCTCAGACTGGTACGGTTTATCTAGTACTAATGAGATACTAAGATATGGATCGTAAATTATTTGTACTACACTATTCGTGTAAAGCCTTTCCAGTTCTAATTTTGCTCAAAATAAAATTTGCTTGTCAATTTGCGACAGCAGTGGTATCTTGTTTATGAGATCAATATTTGTGATATTTCTATTTATTTTTATCGGTATCATCAGTCCTTTCTATGATATTTTTCTGTTGGCGCTGTACTATAGGTAAACATCTAATATCTGATATTTATATTTTTCCTTTTGACTCTTTGATTTGTTTCTGAAAGCAGATGTTTTGCCGTGAACTCTTATCAAGTGAAGTCTTTTAAAAGATGTACAGCCTCTATTAGGGTGAGTGAACGTACAGATTTAGGTGGGGGGGACTTAGTTTATTGATTTCCGACAATTTATTCGAAGCATGATCATTGCAGAGGTTCGGTCCAAAGCCGGGCGCAGTTTATTGCCTTGGTCTTGGTCCTCCACGGGTCGTTCATCGGGCACGGAAACGGGCATTGGTTACACTAGTGCAGGTGGTCCATGTCCTGTCGTTGGCCGTACGTACATAAAGCCCCATTTTCATAGGCTCCATCTTGCTCGGTTTCCTACTTTGCCCTTTCCTAGTTTATGGATAATTTCCATAAACTATTAGACAGTAGATTTCACTGTTTTATTTGACTGGATGTGTACTTATCCATACTAGCTCACAACCTTGACAATAATATAAGTTATGCACTTCTATTAGTTGATCATACTGTTTCTGTTAGCATTTATTAGCAAAGTTAAAAGTATGGGTAAGTAGCTACTTTTTACAACATAAATTCATTTAGCAGTTATGCTTTATGGCATGGATTTTAAGGAAGTACCAAGAATTGCAAAAAAAAATTAAGAAACAAACTTGTCAATTTCCTACTTACTTTCCACGTGCCAATGCTTTTTTACTCTCCAATGTGAACATTGTTTTTGGATAATTATTTAAGGGAGAGTTGTACACACTAGGTCACCTTATGGTACAAAATAGGCAGCTGGTCCAACAATGACAAAAATTAATTCACAACAAAGAAATTTTAATAAAATAATAATGAGAAAAATATTTTATTACATTTATTATAAACAATAAACTTTTAACTTAGGATTAAATTAAAATTGCGTACGCCTCTCTGGCTATGTTAATATTTTCTTGTTTGAATCAATTTGAACAACATATGTCTGCCACCTCAGACCTTTCTTTATAAACATTTCCTAAAATGTCTTTAATTTGACCAACATAGATAAATTTTTTTTTAATAAATTTCATTACAACAAAGTTTCCAAGTCCTGGAAACGGAGCACCAAGGAACACTCGCCAGGCTGGATCATGGTAATTAAAAGTAGAGGAATCGTCATTTTCATCATTTTGGCTTTGGTCTTGACCTTCATGATACAT